TCTTGAGCAATACCAATTCCAGAAGCATATCTACACTTGCAGATGCCAAGTAGTCAGTCTTACTGTTAGAAATAATACCCCAGTTGTAGAGAGAATAGTACTTACACAGAGGAAGAAAGAGGAATGTTGCCGCCTCTAGGAAAAATACCAGGGAGATGGTGGTGTGCTTTTCTCTATAGCAGCTAGTTCCCTAGCATGGGACACCTTGGCCAAGACTTAAAGTAAGCTCATTTCCTGCATCCATCTAGTTTCAAATGTAATCTGAAGAACCTAATCTGTTACTGCAAATAAAACAGTGCCTGTGAACATCTGCTGATACAGAGGGAACTTCTATGATTTGTGTAGCTGCATCTGTTTGGAAGAGAGTCTGCAATAGCATGTTACTAGGCTTGAACAAACAAAACTAGCTCAAGGAGTTGTCCAGGTGGAAGGAGTTCTGGTGAAGGCTCTTTTTGCCATCCATTATTGTTCAACTTCGAAATTTTGAAAACTGAGTCAGCCAAGTATTTCTGAAATAAATGAAAACTAAGAAAGAAGATCAGGGCAGTATTTCTTGTGCTAGAACATGGATGGTAGATGTTTTGTTTCTGACCTGATACATCAGCCCTTGATGTTTTCTTAGGAGTAATTTCAATAACGTGTTATTTGGGGGAAGGCAGTAGGACAGCTTCACCAAAAGCACTTGATATGGTAACTTAAGTTGTTCATTTTTAGATGAAGTTGGAAAAAGTTTAAAATGTTGAAAAGAAATAACATTTCTGAAGCACTTTTCAAGTTCTAAGGGCGGTTTGCGATGTGCCAGTGTAACTTGTCCCTGTGTTGATCACTTTGTTTTACTTGAGATGGATACCAAACACCACCATCTGTGAAAGAACATAAAGCCCAGAGGTGAAGAGGGAAAGATTTTTTTTTTTCTTATTACTTGCTGTACCGTCATCTCATCCTTTTTTTTTTCCCTGAAAATATTAAAATAAGCAATACTTCTATTTAAAAATGTTTGTGTTAAGGGGTTCTCCAACAGCCCCTGAAAGTATTTTATTTGGATTAAAGCTTATGTTACTTTGTATATGGACTCTGCCCAGAAGGATTTTAGCTTTCTATAAAAGTATTGGTGGCTAATTTCTGGTGTAACAATTAAATCTCTTACAGAACATCTTATGGCTGAGAATTGCTGATGTCATGACTATCATTCATTGGTTGCTATGGAAATTAAGTAGGAATGCATTCAATATTAATACTGCATTCCT